GAAGGGATTTTAGGGATCAAGAATTTTCTATTTGGATCTATTATTTTCATAAGACATTCTTTTCTAAGTCATTGATAAGAAATGCAATAATAACTAACACACCTTGTCGGGATTCGAACCGTAGACGTCACCAAATAAAGCATTGTCACCGGCTCATCTGAGGTCAGTGGGACGGGGCCCTGTTAACCCCTGCGACTCGGGCTAATCGTGTCATTGAGCTTATTAATGCAGTGTGATCAGGAACGTCATTTATATTTATGTACGAGGGGCACAGACAAAGTGACACAGCAAAAAAAATAATCCAGAAATCTCTTCGGTTCAAAAATACAATTTTACTTAAAGTACAAAAAGGAAATGAAGAAATGTGTTTTAACCGTTGTTTTATATCACTATAAAATGAATCGTAAAATGTGTTGGTAAGCGCATAACTCAACAACACCTGGACTAATTTTACCAATTCTTTTTTTTTAATCTACGAATTTTCGTGACGGCGAATTTTGAAAAATTCAACCTCTAAGGGGGTAAAACGGGGGCCACGCGTACGAAGTTGCGGGCGGCCGCTAGTATTGATTTAAAATGATTTAGATCTGAGAATAATAATATTATGTCGCTCGTGTATTGAGAGAGATATCAATGATACTTAGTTTGTGCTATAAGAAAGAAATAAATAGGCTTTGTAATTTTTTGTGAATGCGTTTAAACCTACTATAAAAACTTTCTGTAAAAGACTGAAATCACGAGCAAAGTCTTTGGCGGAAGCTGGTAAAAATAAATTCAGGCAGAATATGAATAAAGAAAATTTCCAGATGATTTCCTTTTCACACTTCACCAAACCCTCAACTTGCCAAGCCATCCAGTGCTAATTAGGAAAAATCGCTTCAGAAAATATTCTTCAATCCAATTCCTTCTTGTCCTTACTAATTACAATCATTACTTCATTACCAACTTAAATTACAACCAGCTGAACCAAAATATGCTTTATTCATTCAACATAAAGGCCAATAACACAGCAAAGGAAGCTGTTATCAGGGCATCAGTATGCATAGAAACGGCGCCAATACTAATATTTTTCCCAAATTAAAATAGCTTTTGCGTGAAAAGGCGAAGTCGAAGCAAGGGCGGGCCTCTAGGGGTTAAGAGATGGGTTTTCGTAGATTTGAACGGTCTATAAATTGACTTGGATAACGCTGGAGTGGTAAACCATTTTGCATATTCGTATTGAGTTTTGAAAACAGTCCTTTAAACTAGGGAGGTACTGAATCTGCTTATGATCGTAGTCCGTTCTGTTTGCACCAATTTTAGATAACTAGTAGATTTAGTATAATGACGATTTTGTGGATTTATATATTATTATTATGTAGGTAGGTAATAAAAAATCGGCCAGGAGCGAGTCACGTTCGCACTTGGATGTTTTTTGATTTAGTTACAAATACTTTCCTATATGGTAACAATAACAAAGAAGAGAGGTCTATAGCTACATGCAACGATTTTTTTTATGATGGATAAAGAAATGATAATTTTAACTGCCTACCTATTATGGTTATTTAAAGATTAGGCCCTACTCCCAGGCAAAATATAGACAGGTTAATTAAGTTCCTACAGAATACCAGCATTCATGTTCTGAATGGAACATGATACAAGCTGAGTAGGAGCCATTTTGGTTCAATAAATTATGTATGTAATTTAAATTGTGTAAAACGTCTGTTTGAACCAAATAAACCATTTTTCTTTCTTTCTTTCTTTCTTTCTAGAGCTTAGTCGCCAGGCAAGTTAAAAGCCGCAGGTTGAAGTTCCACCTAAGGATTTCAACAGATTTTTTTTCCATCTGAGACAGTCGATTTTTCAACTGAAAATTCAAACTATAGAGTACGAAATATATAAATAACTTGAAAACATTTAACTGCCTCAGGCGGGAATTGAACCCATGACTTTTCACTTGTCGGGTGACTGCTCTTCCATCTGAGCTACTTGGACACTGGACTAACCGTGGATTACTATACGTCTATTTTAATCATAAGAAATTAAACAACTACAGCATGTTAATGTTCACATTTAAACGCTCCTGTCAGAATGCACTGCAACTCATAGTCCAGTAGACAACGTAAGTAATGCGTCGCTGGACGGTAGCCAACTGGACTGTATCGGACGGCGGACTAGCCATGTACAGTGTAACGAAAATTCGAAAAATGGCTTCCTAGAAATGGGAGGTGAAAAGCTTTGTTTGTGTTTCATAGGACGCTGTCATTGGTGACATGCAGTAGATATGTTACGGTTAATGTGATAAATTGAAAATTATTAATAATAACCGGTTATTATGAATAATCCCCGACAGTCGCGGTAAAAGTGATAAATTAATCACATTTAACAGTGATTATTTAATAATTCAGCCTTAGTACTAACAAATTTCATAAAAGAGAACAACATCTTGTGTACGTGTTCGTGTACAGCCAAACTTTTGAACGTTTTGATATCATATATTAATATAATTTGACATAATGAGTTTGGAATGTTTCTTGCATAATATTACTTTTCCATGATGCCTATAACATAATGTTTTGATTTAAAGTGAAAAATAGGTTAAGGTGCGGCGGGGGTGGCCCTTGGGCCACCCCTAGGCCGCCTATTTAGTTTTATACACACATAAATGACCTCATATTAATCACATTTACCAAATCATGCGGTAATTATTCATAATAACCGGCGATTATTCATAATTTTCACATTTATCACTTTGACCGTAACAGATACACAAAAATGTAAGTATAGGGCTTCTGCTACTTTGACTTATAAGCCGAGTTTGAATTATTTATTCCAACTATTAAACCCAAAAAACGTGGCCACAAACTAAGTAGAACTAGTAAAACACAGAAAACTGCACGCATCTATCACACTAAGATAAAATCAGCTTTGTTCACAATAAAAACAGTAACATAATACTAATAATTCAAAAAGTTATCGTGTAATTAAAAACATTAAGAAGCAAGGTTCTTTTTTTATTAATGTTGGTAAACATCATGCCAACATTCTAGCGGAACTTCGTATGATGACAATAATTTTTAACAATAATAAAAGTGCCATATTTCAGATAGCATCTAGGTTTGTGACAAAAGTCACCGACCTCTCCCGTTAAATTGTGTTACAATGCCACTATACTTAATCTAATATTCTAATCTTTGTGTTACGTTGTCACCACAACCCAATATTTATGCTAATCGTTGAAGATAATTCGTATTCGCTTTGAATACAGGAGCATAGAGGGCTCTATACAGGGTGAAAGCGTTAAGTGATCTCACTCAATTATTTCTAAAGTATACAAGATATCAAAAAACTGGTTACTGAACCTGAAAGTGCATCACGAGCTCTATCAAACAGTATCAATAATTGGTGCCATTTTTGTACAGTCAGTGTCATAGATTTCGTGACACCCAAAGTGGCCAAAAAGTTGACAACACAAACTAAATTGTAACTATGACGTTTTGCGAACTTATTGGCCACTTTGAGTGTAACGAACTATTTGACGCTGACTGTACCAGTGATTCACGAGCTTTGTCAAATGGTATCTATTATATAAAAGAAAGTCGTGTTAGTTACTCCACTTATAACTCAAGAACGGCTGAACCGATTTAGCTGAAAATTGTCAGGGAGGTAGTTTAGAGCCAGGAGAAGGACATAGGATACTTTTTATCCCGTTCGAAATTAAAAAAAAAGTCTGCTTATTTATTGCCATTAAGGCGGAACAAAGTTCGCCGGGTCAGCTAGTTAATAATATATATCGTCGAAAAAATGGTATCAATAATTGACACCGTAACCAATTTTTCGCTATCTTGTATAGTTTTAAAATCGAGTGCGATCACTTATCGTTTTCACCCTGTATAGAGTTCTACACCAGTCTCTAGCTCCACATAAACCAGCGCGATCACAAACAGAGCTAATTTGTGTGATACCGGAAACGTAATGAACGCATTCCGATTCTGAGGCACGACTGGGCGGGCGGGCGGCTGATAACGGGGCACAATTATTGATCCCACTTACAGTTAATGCACACGGCGTGACGTAATTCGTGACGTTTCTTTAGAATTGACAACCGTGGTGTAGCTTGGCGACTCTATCAAAATGTATGTCATGCTAGGGGCATATTAGTGCATATACGTAAGTAATTAAGGAGTACCTAACTGCGTGTAAAAAGGCGATTTGTTGATGAGAATCCACGACTTAGGGCTTCTTTCAAGTTCTATGTAGTTACGAGGGGGCGTAGTGCGAGTTTACGTCAAACGTATTTGATATCGACTGCATTAAAAAACTAAATGAAGATTTTATTTCTTGAAAGTTTCCGCTAGGGGCGTAAATTTGCTTCCGGAGAAGATTTACATGACAACTTATTTAAATAAGTAGAAGTTAATACATAGAAAACTTATGTGTGTTACGTGTGTGTGAAGTTTTGTTTTTGTTTTTTGTATTTAAAATGTTGGTTGGAGAGGCACCCGCTGAAAATCAGCATCGGGGCACGCGTGGCTCGATTAATGCTGAGCGGGCGCCTTTTTGGCACAAAATATGCGTGTATAGCTTTAAAATCAAATCAAATCAAATCAAATCAAATCAAAATTCATTTATTTGCTTGAGTCCCTATTTAAGTATTTAAGTCCCTTTGTTCTGTTTTTCTGTTTTCTTTTGTGTCAAATAAAGTTTTTCTTATTCTTATTCTTATTCTTATACGGCACAAGGTACTTAATATTATAGTCATTAACTCAGAGGTCTCTTAGGGAGGTTTCAGTATTTTAGATCTTAGAGGTTTTAAGGCGTTTTATACAATTTATATAAATGTCCTACGTGATATTTATTTATTTAATAGGAAAACCAACAAGACATCAATTAGGAAGATATTATCGCAATCAATGTCTTCTTACATCAAAGCGTGGTAATACGCACGTTGACGGTTAATAAAAAACGCGGTGAGCATGAGCTCTTCGGTTTTGCCTATTCAAATACCGTAAAAAACTTACTTGGTAGGTCTGGTCAGGCCGTAGTATCTGTGCTCGGTGTAGAACAGGCCTGCACCAGTGAACCCTGCGATGTCGTACGCCAGGCCGTCGGTCACCCATCCCTCCGTGATCTCCCACTCGCCTCCCACGAAGATTACGATGTTGCGCTCAGAAGTTTGTCTGCTGTTGTAGAAGAAACGCTGAAAAAAAAAGAAATATGCGTTAAATACAGGGTGTCCCAAAAACAATGGATATCCATTAACAGGGTTATCCCTGTAACCGTCGATAGGCCTCGCCATGGTCTCCCTAACGTCCAATTTCGACCCATGTAAAAATATCACCGTTTTCAAGATTTTTAAGTTTTTGTGCATTTTTAGAAAATTGCCACCTGCGATTACTTTTTCTCATACCATTTCTACAAATGAGGATACTTTTCAATTTGGCTATTAAAAGAAAAGATTAAAGTTCAACAAAGTAGTTTAAAAGTATGAAAATTTTAGGAAATTGCAGAGAAGAAGGAAAAATTAATTCATTGTCTTGCACTTTTGATCCGCCATCGTGTAAAAAAAAGGACCGTTCATTGTGGAAAATCTTGGGGGAGGCCTTTGTCCAGCAGTGGACGTCATTTGGCTGAAATGAACTAACCCTTACCATGGGGAAGGTGTCAGTGTTGGTGGCATCAAAGTGGTTGACCCTGACATCCAGCCAGCGCGTCTCGACGTTGGACCGGTGGAGGGGCGTCGGCGGCGGAGGCTCCTTGTTCAGATGGAGGCCTAAGGCTGGCGCCAAGAGAACGAGGAACAGCCCTGGAATCATGAGCATTTGAAAAAGCTATAGTTATGTTGTAATTTTAAGTATAACTTAGGTTTATTGGTCGCGTAACACTGCTACCACGAAATGGTAACGACAACACAACTTACGAGTACGTAGGAAACAAAATGTTATTAGGTGTTTTACATTGCACCATTTCTAAGGTAAGGCTAAATTGCACTTATTAATATGGAAAACATCCTTGTCATGTAAAGGTCTGTATTAAGATAATATTTTTCAGATATGTAAAAGGCCAAATTTTCAGCGATAAGTGGAAAAGTTTATATTTCACTAATTAAAACGTTTCAAGAAGTTTTTACTACAAATGATTAATTTTGATTAACTTTCTTAACATAACTTAACTTTTGAAAGAAGTTTACAAAATTGTATCTAACTAAAATGTGACGTTTCAAACCCACACATTTTCTCTATCAAATAACCTTCTAAATGTAGGTTTTAAATGTTATATTTCTACAAAACTCCACGTTATTCAGGCATCAGCTACATAAGCTGTCCGTTACTGCTTCGTTCAAGCCATCAGGGCGTACGCTGTAGAGCTGTATAAATAAATCTAGATCGAAAGTTCAAGTTTTAGCGCTAAAAGCTCTCTGGAAGCTTCGAAATAGACACTTACGGATCAGAAGTGGTTTATTTTGGCGGACGTAGGCACTTGGATGGTGGGTAGCGATTAGAAAGAAAACTTGGAAGGTTATTTTTAAAAGAAAAGGAGAATCTATGTTAGGTACGTATTTATTTGAAATTAACAGAACTAGGGACAAATATATCTATTTAAAGGTTTTTGAACTTAGTTGTTATTTTATTTTTTACTTGTATTGAATAAATACTTTTTCTTTCTTTATTTCTTATAGTTGGTCGTCCGTCCATCAGGCAGGTGATCCTTACACGAACCAAAGAATCTCACACAAGCAAATTAAAATGTATAATTCTGTGGACCAAATTGGCTATATTTACGAAAATTATACGTTTCTTAATCTATCTTCGAAGGATAGATGAATGTTTTCTCTGTGAACTCCACTTTCCAAAACTGCTGAACGGTTTTTGACGAAACACACACAACGAAAGTAGGTACAGTGCTATAGCTTATACCTAAAATTTTACGTTTTATCGATATATACGCGGACAAGGTCGCAAGAAAACGGTAGTACCTACAGCTTTATTATCATCATCATCATTTCATGCAGGACATTCACTGCTGAACATAAGCCTCCCCCAATGATTTCCACATCGCCCGGCTGGTAGCGGCCTGCATCCAGCGCCTTCCTGCTACCTTTATGAGGTCGTCGGTCCACCGCTACGACTTTTTATACAATAAACATAATTGTAAAAACTTAAGCGCACTCCCATGGCATGCATTGCACGTATAGTTTTAAAAATAATATAAAAACACTTACACATAATGATACACTAATTTACTTAACGTAATGATATCGGACTGATATTACCGAATTCAGTAGATTCCCTTTCGCCCTCGATCGGCGGTTATCAGCTTATCTCTTGATAAACTATGTTAAGCATGTATTCTTTTATCGCGTAGTAATTTGAAGCTGCTAAGAAAAACCGTGTATGTCGATTTTTGCTAAGATACTGTGAACAACTTAACACCTCAAAGGTTCAAAGATTTGTTTACGTAGAAAAGGTAAGTAGTTCTTTTTACATAGCTACAGAACTTACTATTCTGTTTAAAGTAAATTTTCGCTGTCAGCATGTATAGGTACATGAATTCTGGGGTTAGTTTTGAGTCTAATCTAGCCAAATTTAAATACCATTTAAAGCTAGGCACTCTATTTAATGTAAGATGCATCTCCTAATCCAAAAAAAAAATACTTTAAAATGAATCTTATGCATAACAAGGCAGGACCTTATTTAAAGTTATAAATGAATATCTGAAACTGGAATATTAATATTTTTGTATAAAGTGAAAAATATGAATTTTTAACTTATACTACTTTCGTTATACGCGCTTATCTTAATATTCCGATTACATTAAATCTTATCTTTGCCAAATTAATTATGTTAGTAATTATTATCACTGGCTTGTAACTCGTTAGTCTAAATAGTTTTCATTTAATTTTTATCACTTTAGTACTGGAATATATGGGTATTTATTTATTTATTTATTTAGGACAATCAACAAGACATACTAGAAGACAATCAATATTTACAACGTATTTAAACTTAATCAAAGTGCTGCCTTAATTATAGGGTATTTCCCTTATCTAAGATTTTTGGGAACGTACTTAGCTCTTAACCAGGCTTACGAAAAAACATCATTCAGACATTAATTTTAAACATTACAGCAACAAATTTCTAATGTTGTGGCATCTTTATACCTAACTAGCGGCCGCCCGCAACTTCGTACGCGTGGATCCCGATTTACCCTCTTAGGGGTGGAGTTTCGTAAAATCCTTTCTTAGCGGATGCCTACGTCATAACATCGACCTGCATGCCAAATTTCAGCCCGATCCGTCCAGTGGTTTGGGCTGTGCGTTGATAGATCACTATGTCAGTCAGTCACTTTTGAGTTATAATATTTATTTATATTAAGGGGATAATGTGACATCTTTTCAACTGGTTGAGGGTATAAGTTAAATATGAGGCCGATTCCCTATTGCCCATTAAATAGTTGATTGTTTATAACATGTTATTTAATTTCTATACAAATATTACGTAAAATAATAAATTAATTAGGGTTTTTAAATAAGATAAGGTCCTGATGATGTGTTACGCTACAGGCGATTAAGTAATAATTACAAATGCCAATTAGATGAAGGGAAAACAGTGTTTTGTTATGAACGGTAAATGAGCGTAAACTCTAGACTACGCATGCGGCCTGTTAGTCAGCAATTGAAACACATTTGTTGTGGATAAACTTGGAAAATAAGTAATTAAAGTATTAAACTAATTTGGTTAAATAAAAATACTTAATTTTATACTAAGTAAGCAGTAAGTATGGATCTATCTATATGTAAGGTCACTTCCCTTTAAAGTAAATAAATAATGGAAGTTCAACCAAAAGCATTTTTTTTTCAGAATAAGGCAGGTATTTGATCGCAATCGCACTTGATGTTAAGACAGATGTTTCTTTGTCGTATAGGCCCTCTATCCGTCTGGTCAGGGTGGGAGTGGAGTCCAAATCTTTCATTCAATCCAAATCATCTGATAAATTATGAAACAGGGGCCGTCCTCCTGCAATGATGATGAATATGATTGGGTTGGAACCTGAGAAAGAGTATCTTGTCTACGTGTTACGTCAATACGCTACTTTTCTCAGGTTGCGCACGAAATAAAAATGCATTTAAATCATGAATATTCTAAATCTAACTCGCAAATCGCGATCGTGTGTTCTCTACTATTCATTCTAAGGTCTTCCCAATTCATAAATCTCTTGGAGATTCCAACGGACTCCAACCATTTTGAGTTTCACTGCCTAGAGAAACCAACGAATACAGAAATCTACAAATCCACACTTGCACTGCAACTCTACGAATGACGTCACGGTGATCTTCCTTCGTCCATAGTTTCCTTGTGGCGTGGGCGGCTGTTATTATCCTTGTTAAAGAGGGACCTTGTGGCAAGAGGTAGGTTTTACGACCCGTATTATAAAACTCATACTTAATTCGATCTCGAATAGAACGAAATCTAGAGTAGGGAGTTGAGTGTAGTTCCAATATCGGCAATATCCAACGCTCCCAAATATTTTTACTAGATGGCGTACAATGCCATGTTTTACTTCGCGGTATCATTCATTGTTTTCGAAAATTGATTTACATATTTATTTATTTGGAAACTCAACAGATACCTATTCACATTTCGGTTTAGAGTAGACAAGTGTGCTTCAAATGTCCAGTGGGAAAGAAGGGTCTGATTGAAATAGTGATGACAGATGTCACAAACTGGTTGTTGCATTACAAAAAAAATCTGACACAGTTTTTCTTATAATTGTTTCTTCGTATTGTGATTGAGTCTTTATAAAATGCAGTTTCAAAAATTATAAGTGAACATAATATACAAACGAAGGAATACTGTTTAACGCTATAGCATTTTAAGTAGTAAACAGGCGTTTATTAATTACGTATATTAATTTTATCGTCACTATTTTCAGTTTCCCTAGTAGAATAGAATAGAATAGAAAACTTTTATTTGCAAGAAAGGTATACAGGCAAGACATAGATTAAAACAGAGAGAAATAAACAAGAGGACAATTAACTGCTTGTGCCCCTCTGACAAAAAGGCACCCGCTCAGCGTACATCAAGACCGCCAGGGCTTGTCTTGAAACTGATTTTCAGCGGGGGCCCTCTGTTGTCACGGCGTACCCCTGCTGACGGAGATGCAAGAGGAGAAAGGAGTCCACAAGTCCGGCAGCAGGGAGAACGCAGCAAGGGGGCGCAATAGAAAAAGAGAAAACAAACACAAAGAGAAAAACAAAAATGCACCATAAGAATTAAATTAAATTAGTATCTTATTGTTTTTTGTCGAATGATAAAAATAAAATAAATACATAAATAACTTTTTATAAGGTCTGCAATGTTGTTTATTATGTCCAATGGGCTTCTAAAAAGGAAACAGTTTGATTAAGATCCTTCGTACGAAGAAACAATGGTAGTTCACAAGAACTGAGAGACGTGATCGACATTGAATCCCTTATATGGAAGGAAGTAAGTATAATACCTAGGTATACTTCACCTTCCATCAAGCAAAAGCTAGGTAAGTACGCTACAATATGATAGGCATGTTTTTTGTCAAGACCACATCGTCCTTGGCTGGCGGCAATGTTTAGATTATGGTAAAATGTATTTGCGGTTTTCGTAGCGCCACCCCCACGCGGAACTAAGTTCCAATTTTCGTTAATAGATGGCGTTGATCGTAATTGACTCGCGCTAACATTTGATTGTGGTCAAGACCCTTTCTTGAAGGTAGGCCTAAATTGAAACACCTACGAGTAATATCCAGATTAAAAAAACACTTTGAAGTCATATGAATGAAAATATTATGCTTTATTTAGACACCATGATTTGACAAGATTAGGTATTTAACTTAAAAATCGTCTTCCTCGGATAAGACTTGACCCCATTACCTTGCTAAGGCTACGAAAGCATGGATTTACCTGTCAATTTGCAGAGGAAACCATGTTTGAGNCTCAATTTCAAGCATAGCCTTAGCGTGAAGAGCTTCGGCCTGTAAGCGAGCTTTAACAGTGCTGGATGTAGATTTAGACCTATTAGAGTGAGTACCTCCAGCATTTGAGGTGGAGATATTGACGCTTGGAGTGGCTCCAAGCGAACCTCCACCTGCTTGAGGCACCGTGACACTAGGATCTACACATACCTGTGAGGCTTGGGGCTCTGTAGGGTTACCTGATTGGTTCTTTACCTTGCTTCTAGTGAGCATGGTACCTTCACCTCTCCTATCGGAGGACCAATGTTAAAAACGATGGTTGGAAGAAGCAATTTATGGGAAAACTCCAAAAAGGCAAAAAGCAGTATCTTGCTCAAAACATTAACACGAGAGAGTACAAAAAGCAACTTCAAAAAAAATCCATAAAACAATATTAAAAAAAGTATAAAACCATAAACAATTATCAAAAAGGATTGCTGGCCAAACTGCCAGCAACAAGCATTATAATTATAGCTGTTGTGCTAATCTACGCAAATACGCAGCAAATACACACATACTACGATTGCATAGTTTTGCAAACATATGTTCCGATAGCGAACTCAAAAACAAGCACGTTCCTCTGACGAACTCCGCAGTCATCCGCCAGGTGTCGTTAAACAATAGCTGCGCACGCGCAGATTGTGAGAAAATTCAGTATCCCACTTGGAACCTTTTCATTGTTAACATAGAGACAAATCCGTACAATTATTCATCAAAATTGCATGGAGTGTACTTTGATAAAGAGTCCTATAAATCATATTATTTGGAACGCAAACAATGTAAATCTTTGTCGCATTAAGCTTGTTTGGCGTTATAAAGAAATAAGTAGCGTAACAAACATTGGCGGGCTTACTTTGACAGGGTTCCATAGTAGAGTGAATCACGCGCACGTGTTTGCAAAACGTAATGTTGTGGGAGTGGCACGTGTCATTCGTGAGTGTAGCACGTTTTTAGTGAAAGGAATTCAATTCAAGTCCTTATGAGGTGGCTCGGTAGGGTTTTTGGCATAATGAAGTAATGAAGTGTCGAATTAATCGGTTAATGCAGTAATACAAGGTGTTGATTTATTTTATAGAACATACCTATACGGATAAAAGAAATATCTCAAAATAAAAGAAATATCTGAAAATTGAGATAAATTATTGTCTTAAATTAATAAAATTAGCATACGTCCGTTTCATTTATAAGCCCCATTAAAATTTCGTGCTCATTTCAGTAAGATTTGTCTCTAACATGATTCGAATCTGCAACAACTGTTGTTGTCAAATCAAGTCACTGCGCTTAGCAGCCTTTTTAGTTACATTTATTGCAA